CTTATAGTGCAATTAGAATACATGTTTCATGACTTCTGGGCCTTATTTGAAGGTCTTTTTGACTTTCTGTGCTTGGCACAGCAGAGTGGACTCTTTCTAACCTGGAGCTGCTGCCTCCAGGTAGAATTTCATCATTCACCACTGCACCTGTCTCACAAACCCAGGACTCAGTTTCACCTTTAATTCACTCCACCTTTGTCAATGCAGTTCTCTTTCCTGATGCCATTATTTGTGGTCATCTTACTAGCAGAATCCCATTACAGTCCTGCTGAATTTCCCTTGCATAGAAATCTGCCCGCTTGTAGCCGTATTCCAAGAGCCTGCTGTGGGCTCCCAGGTAGATGTTTTTATTTGTTCATACCTGCAGGATCATGTGTCCGTTAAGCAAGCATGCAGGGGGTAGCACTCTGTCCTAGCACTGTGCTAGGTGCTGCACACAGTGGGAATGAGGTGAGGTCCTAGTCATCAAGGAACTTATGGTTTACTAAGCGGAGAGACAAAAAAGAGGACAGTTAAACTATACTGAGATAAATACAGCATTGGGGGCAAGTGGGAGGGTCACCCAAACTAATTTGGGGGAAGACAAGGTAGATTTTCCCTATAACCGTTTCCTGTTGTTTTACTTATCAGTAAACTTAGGATCTCTTATCCCAGCTTATTGGCTATTCTGTGTTTGGGATTTGAAATATGTTAGTACTTTCTTCTCATGATTTTTAATTTGTCTTCAGTGCAGTGCCTCTGATCCATACCGGGGAACATCTGATGTCTGAGATTAGCCATAAGAATCTAGGTTTTTAAGACTTTAAAAATTGCTTTTTCATTAACAAAGCACTGAAAACAGAACAATAATCTTTCTAAGCAAAAGAACCGTTAGTCTTATATTTATTCATTCAGCAGACAATTGAATGCCAACCCCACATCTTGGCAAAGCCCCTATTTCAATGGGAGAGGCAGACAAGATTCACACACACCCATACCCACACCCACACTCACACCCACATGCACAGACTTCT